TTGTGTTGAAACTCTCCATATATCCCTTAAGGACAAAAGACTTAGGTGTAATATTGCTCTCAATAAAGTATATATGCTTGAAACAAACCAAAGAAAACAAAAGAAATACAACCTAATGTTTCTGATTAGTGCTATTTTTGTCCTTTCTAAAAATATTCTGCTCCTCAAATTGATTACAGATTTTTCAAGTATTATTCATCAATCTGCTTTTTTTCTTTTTTGAGACGGAGTCTCGCTCTGTTGCCCAGGCTGGAGTGCAGTGGCGCCATCTCGGCTCACTGCAAGCTCTGCCTCCCGGGTTCACGCCATTCTCCTGCCTCAGCCTCCTGAATAGCTGGGACTACAGGCACTCGCCACCACACCTGACTAATTTTTTTGTATTTTTAGTAGAGATGGGGTTTCACCGTGTTAGCCAGGATGGTCTTGATCTCCTGACCTCATGATCTGCCCACCTCAGTCTCCCAAAGTGCTGGGATTACAGGCTTGAGCCACTGCGCCTGGCCCATCAATCTGCTTTCATATATTGAAGGCAAAGGAATATTTTTAAAAGATACAGTTTATTTACTTCTCTATTGTTTTTATTTTATATTTTATCTTATTTTTTGACACAGGGGCTCCCTATGTCTTCCAGACTGGAGTGCAGTGGCACGATCACAGCTCATTGCAGCCTCATCCTCCACAGGCTCAGGTGACCTCCCACCTCAGCCTCCTGAGTAGCTGGGACTACAGGTGTACCCCACCACACCCCAGGTAATTTTTGTATTTTTAGTAGAGACGGGGTCTTGCCATGTTTTCCAGGCTGGTCTCGAACTCCCGGGCTCAAGCCATCTGCCCACCTTGGCCTCCCAAAGTGCTAGGATTGCAGACATGAGCCACCTTGCCGGCCTGCTGGTGTTTTTTAGAATCGTCCCAGTAACTAGTACCTCAAGAGGTTATACTTTTTTTGTGTGTGGCTTTTTGTAACTCTTGTACTATATCTGTACAATTTAAAAGTATATGATTTGAACCACAATGAGCTGCCACTTCACATCTGTTATGATAGTTATTATTTTAAAAAAACTAAAAAATTAAAAAGAGACTACCATATGATTCAGCAATCCAGTATCTGGGTATTTATCCAAAAGAATTGAAATCACATAGAGATATGTGGACCCTCACATTCATTGTACCATTGTTAACAACAGCCATGATGAGGAAATAACCTAAATGTCCATCAATGGATGAACAGATACAGAAAATACATGCAATGAACCATTATTCAGCCTTCAAAAAGAAAGAAATCCTGCAATATGTAACAACATGGATGAACTCTGAAAACATTGTGCTAAGCAAAATAAGCCAATCACAGGACAAATACTGCATGATTCCATGTAACATTCCATGAGTTATCTAAAGTAGTCAAACTCATAGAGTAGAATGGGGGTTACCAGGGCCTGGAGTGGGGAGGGCAGAAATGGGAAATGGCTAATTAATGGGCATGAAGTTTCAATTATGCAAGGTAAGTGCTAGACATTTGCTGTACAACACTGTGCTTATAGTTGACAATACTGTATTGTACATTTAAGATTTTGTTAAGAGGCAGATTTCAAGTTGTGTGTTTTTTTTTTGTTTGTTTGTTTTTTTGCGGGGGGGACAGAGTTTCACTCTTGTTGCACAGGCTGGAGTGCAATGGTGCAATCTCGGCTCACCGCAATCTCCGCCTCCCAGGTTCAAGTGATTCTCCTGCCTTAGCCTCCTGAGTAGCCGGGATTACAGGCATGCACCACCATGGCCGACTAATTTTGTATCTTTAGTAGAGATGAGGTTTCTCCATGTTGGTCAGGCTGGTCTCGAACTCCTGACCTCAGATGATCCGCTTGCCTCGGCCTCCCAAAGTGCTGGGATTACAGGCATGGGCCACTGCGCCCGGCCTCAAATTGTGTTCTTACAATAATTTTTTTTTTTAAAGAGCAAACAATGCTAATCCTTGTCGTTATGGGTTTTAAAGTCTATGTGGAATAAAGAGGGAGAAAAAAAGGCTACAATTTGATAATCTTGACACACACATACATAGAACAGATGGCATGTATACACCTGTGAAACCATCACCTCAATCAAGAAAATGAACATATTATACCCAAGTTTCCTCTTTTTTTTTTGAGACAGAGTTTCGCTCTTGTTGCCCACGCTGGAGTGCAATGGCGTGATCTTGGCTCAATGCAACCTCTACCTCCTGAGTTGAAGCAATTCTCCTGACTCAGCCTCCCAATAGCTGGGATTACAGGTGTGCACCACCATGCCTGGCTAATTTTGTATTTTTAGTAGACACGGGTTTTCACCATGTTGGTCAGGCTGGTCTTGAACTCCTGACCTCAAGTGATCCACTGGCCTTGGCCTCCCAAAGTGGCTGGGATTACAGGTGTGGGACACTGTGCCCGGCCTTTTTTTTTTGAGACATAGTCTTGGTCTGTTGCCCAGGCTAGTGTCCAGTGGCATGATCTCAGCTCACTACAACCTGTGCCACCCAGGTTGAGGGGATTCTCCTGCCCAGTAGGTGGAACTACAAACGCAGGCCACCATGCCTGGTTAAGTTTTTTAGTAGAGACAGGGTTTCACCATGTTAGCCAGGCTGGTCTCAAACTCCTGACCTCAAGTGATTCCACAGCCTCGGCCTCCTGAAGTGCTGGGATTATAGACATGGGCCACTGTGCCTGGCCCAGCCTCTTTGTAATTCTTTTCAACACCTTCTAGACCCTGATCTCTCAACCACTGAACTGCTTTGTTACTACAGATTGCTATTTATAACATTTTCTATTTATAGAAATGAAATCCTATCGCATGGGTTCTTTTTAATCTTTCATTCAGCACCGTTAGTATGAAATTCATCCATATTATGTTATCAATAGATCATTCCTTCTCATTCCTGGGTGATAGTCTATGATATGAATTCAACACACTTTATCCATTCATATGTTGATAGACATTTGGGTCATCTCATTTTTGGCTGTTACTAATCAAGCTGCTATGAACATTCATGTAAGTCTTTGTGCAGATGTATGCTTTCATTTCTCTTGGGTACATAACTCAGACTGGGATGGCTGGGTCAAGTGATAGGTGTGTTTTACCTGAAACTGCTAAACTTCTTTCCAAGGTGGGACAATTACTGGTGGCTACATTTTATATTCCTGCCAGCAGTGTGCCTTCTAGCTGCTTTACATCCTTGCCAACAATTGGTAGTCAGTCTTCCAAATTTTAACTATTTTATTTTTACTTATTTAAATCTATTTTTTGAGACAGTTTCATTCTTGTTGCTCAGGTTGGAGTGCAATGGCACGATCTTGGCTCACTGCAACCTCTGCCCCCGGGGTTCAAGTGATTCTCCTGCCTCAGCCTCCCAAGTAGCTGGGATTACGGACATACACCACCACACCTGGCTAATTTTGTATTTTTAGTAGAGATGGGGTTTCACCATGTTGGTCAGGCTGGTCTCGAATTCCTGAGCTCAAGTGATCCGCCCGCCTAGGCCTCCCAAAGTGTTGAGATTATAGGCATGCGCCAGCCTAACTTTAACCATTTAATAGGTGTGTAGTGCCATCTCATTTTGCTGTTAATTTGCATTTCTCTAGTGACTACTAATGTTGAGTACCTTTTCATGCGCTTACTTGCCATCCTCATATCTTTTTTGGCAGTGTTTGTTAAAATCTTTTGCCCATTTAAAACATTAGGTTGCTTAAACTGGGCACAGTGGCTCACGCCTGTAATCCCAGCACTTTGGGAGGCTGAGTTGGGTGAATCACCAGGTCAGGAGATCAAGATCATCCTGGCTAACATGGTGAAACCCCGTCTCTACTAAAAATACACAAAATTAGCCAGGTGTGGTGGCGGGCACCTGTAGTCCCAGCTACTCGGGAGGTCGAGGCAGGAGAATGGCGGGAACCCAGGAGGCGGAGTTTGCAGATCACACCACTGCACTCCAGCCTGGGTGATATAGCAAGACTCAGTCTCAAAAAAAAAAAAAAAGTTAGGTTGTTTATTATTAAGCTATAAGGATTGTTTACATATTCTAGATGTTTTTCGAAGAGCAAAATTTTAAATTTTGATAAAGTACAAACTTACTGATTTTTAAAACTAGCTCATGTTCTGTGTGTTGTATTTTAAAAATCTTCGCTTCCTGTGTGTATCCTACATTTGAGAAAAGGAAAAATCTTTGCCAAAGCTAAGGGCACTAAAATTTTCAGTATGTGATTTTTATCAAATAAAATCTTGGCCTCATCCTTTTTAAGTCCCGTTGAAGCACAAAGTTTGAGATTTTTTTTGTGAAAAATATATGATAAAAAATTTGCTCTATGATTTAATAGTACTGTGGTCCAAAATGAGAAACAGCAAATTAAATGCTAATTATAAATTTAATACCAACGTATACAATCAGGTACCTAATAGTTATTATTTTATTTTTTATTTATTTTTGAGATGGAGTCTCACTCTGTTACCTGACAGGACAGGTATGCGCCACCACACCTGGCTAATTTTTTTGTATTTTTAGTAGAGACAGGGTTTCACCACGTTGGTAAGGCTGGTCTGGAATTCCTGACCTCAGATGATCTGCCTGCTTCAGCCTCCCAAAGTGTTGGGATTACAGGCGTGAGCCACCATGCCGGGCCCTAATAATAATAATTATTATTATTTTTTTGAGACGGAGTCTCACTCTGTTGCCCAGGCTGGAGTACAGTGGTGTGATCTCGGCTCATCGCAAGCTCCGCCTCCCAGGTTCACACCATTCTTCTGCCTCAGCCTCCTAAGTATCTGGGACTACAGGCACCTGCCACCACGCATGGCTAATTTTTTGTATTTTTAGTAGAGACGGGGTTTCACTGTGTTAGCCAGGATGGTCTCAATCTCCTGACCTTGTGATCCGCCCGCCTCGGTCTCCCAAAGTGTTGGGATTAGAGGCGTGAGCCACCGCACCTGGCCTTAAGTATGCTTGTTACTAGAAGGACTGCCTTTGTATGAAAAGAAAGACATTTCCGATTCTTCACGTTTTTATTTCTCTCAGAAGTTTAAAATGTGAGCATTCGATAGTTCAGCCAGACTCTTCACTTCCAGGTAACTTCTTCATTGGGTCGCAATTCCCTGTGTGAAAAGCAAAAAAGGAAGAAATGGAAAAACTGTAAATAAAACTTTGATAAGACATAAAAGGGGAAGTCAGAAGAACATGATTTCAATATTTCATTTTCTTTTTTTTTTTGAAATGGAGTCTGGCTCTGTAGCCCAGGCTGGAGTGCAGTGGCACGATCTCGGCTCACTGCAAACTCCACCTCCTGGGTTCAAGCAATTATCCTGCCTCACCCTCCTGAGTAGCAGGGATTACAGCTGTACACCACCACACCAAGCTAATTTTTTATATTTTTGGTAGAGACGCGGTTCCACCATGTTGGCCAGGCTGGTCTCGAACTCCTGACCTCAAGGGATCCGCCTGCCTCAGCCTCCCAAAGTGCTAGGATTACAGGTGTGAGCCACCGCACCCAGCCAATATTTTATTTTCTATTACACTGATCCGTTTAAAAAACTTACATATTAAATTCATCATATTTATTCTTTTTATTCATGACTTTAACTTTTACCATATTGTCAGCTTCATTTTTCTGGGTTAAAGAATTGTGATTACTTAGTTTATATGAAAGCTATTATCTCTGCTCAGTGAGTTCATTCAAAATGTTTTCTAAACCCTTTCCAGCTTATTTTCTCTTTCTTGAAATCCCTGATTTGTGAATCACCTCTACCATCTCTCCATACCCACTGTGGATGCTGCTCACTTCTCTTGCCCCTCAAGCTTCCTCCTACCCAGCTGTATGCCCACTGGCAGGCATCCTGTCTTACTAACGGGAACTCTCTGCTGCCAGAGGAGCCATCTCTAAGGCATAATGGGACCAGGCAGCTGCCAGCTGCTATCACTCTACCACCAGGTCTAAAGCTGTCAGGTAGTGTTGCTAAGAACACAGCGCCTAGCTGCTATTATTACTATTTCTCTCAGCTACAGCATGTCTTAAGACAATATATGACAATATATGTGGAAGCTGTAATATAAGCTAGGCTTTGGTCAGCTACTTTTAAACTGTGGCTGTATTAAAATGCACTTTGAATTAAAAAAAAAGATACTTTCAAAGACCTGAAACAGCCTATTCATTAAATGAACACTTTACATTCTAGAGGTAATCATATTGTTTTATCCAAGGATTCAATAACAAACAAGACTAAAAACAGCATCATTTGAATCTAAGTCCTCAAGGGGGAAAAATTACCCCTTCTATTTATTTTTGGCACATATAAAAAAGAATATTCCCCAAATTTGGCCAATTGCTGGTTTTTTTTTTTTTTTTTTTTTGAGACGGAGTCTCGCTCTGCCGCCCAGGCTGGAGTGCAGTGGCCGGATCTCAGCTCACTGCAAGCTCCGCCTCCCGGGTTCACGCCATTCTCCTGCCTCAGCCTCCCGAGTAGTTGGGACTACAGGCGCCCGCCACCGCGCCCGGCTAGTTTTTTGTATTTTTTAGTAGAGACGGGGTTTCACCGTGTTAGCCAGGATGGTCTCGATCTCCTGACCTCGTGATCTGCCCGTCTCGGCCTCCCAAAGTGCTGGGATTACAGGCTTGAGCCACCACGCCCGGCCCAATTGCTGGTTTAAAAACATGCAGACTAACCTTTTAAATAACGCACTCTTGTTCCGGAAGGCAGTTAGCCGTTCATCATTCTTTCTGTCTAAATAACATCCAATGACAAATCCCATAGGGACAAGAACATGAACCCAGTGGTCCCGCACAATCTGAAGTAAGTTCACCATGATAGCTAAAAGAAAAAAAAATTATCAGAAATACAACTGCTTTTTTTGTTTTCTTTGAAATAGCTTTTAAATTGCATCTGGGCTGGGCACGGTGGTTCATGCCTGTAATCCTAGCACTTTGGGATGCTGAAGTGGGCAGATCACTTGAGATCAGAAGTTCGAGACCAGCCTGGCCAACATGGCAAAACCCCATCTCTACTAAAAGTACAAAAATTAGCCGGGTGTGGTGGTGCGCATCTGTCATCCCAACTACTGGAGAGGCTGAGACAGGAGAATTGCTTGAGCCTAGGAGGCAGAGGTTGCAGTGAGCCAAGATCATGCCACTGTACTTCAGCCTGGGCAACAGAGCAAGACTCCGTCTCGATAAAATAAATAAACTGCATCTGAAACAGGAAGATAATAGACATAGATGTAATAGATGTTAAAAGCCTAATAAGCCTCTTTGTTTGCCTGGCATCAGAATATTGTATAATACTTAAAAATCTAATTGATGAAGATTACACACGGGACAATGATTAATATAAAATTACACTGCACTGAGTCTACTTATTAAATTTTACTACTAGCTTCAATAGTGATGTGATACGATACAGAGCAGAGAAACAGAGAGGGTATGTAAAACATTCTGCCTGCAATAGCTGATTGTTTGCATCCTCCTCATGTTGTTTTGGAACTTTTTCTTATAAAAGAGATGAGGTCTTGCTATGTTGCCCAGGCTGGAGGGCAGTGGCTATTCACAGGCACTATAGCTCTCAACTCCCGGGCTCAAGTATTCCTCCTGCCTTAGCCTTCCAAGTAGCTGGGACTATAGGCATGCACCACTGCACCTGGCTCTCATTTAGAACTTTTACATGTGTAAAACATATTTAGAACCTCTCGCAATGCAAAAACAAATTTAATACAATTTTGCCAAAAGTGGAATTCTTTAGGTAAAGCTGTAATTACTGAAAACTAAATTTAGAAAGAAAAAAGATATGAGAGGAAAAAAAAACTATATTCAATAATGTCACTGTAGATATGAATATAGATTAATCTAAAAAAGGTAAAAGGGCCAGGTGTGGTGGTTCATGCCTGTAATCCCAGCACTTTGGGAGGCTGAGGCAGAAGGACAAGGTCAGGAGTTCGAGACCAGCCTGGCCAACATGGTGAAACCCCATCTCTACTAAAAATACAAAAATTAGCTGGGCATAGTGGTGCATGCCTGTAATCCCAGCTACTCGGGAGGCTGAGGCAGGAGAATCGCTTGAACTCGGGAAGCAGAGGTTGCAGTGAGCTGAGATGATGCCACTACACTCCCGACTGGGGGATAGAGCAAGACTGTCTCAGAAAAAAAAAAACAAAAAACAAAACAAAAAAAAAACCAAAAAAACAAGGCAAAGGGAGAAGAAAACTTACTTTTATAGTGTGACTACTAGGTAGCTCATGCCTGCAACCCCAGCACTTTGGGAGGCTAAGGCGGATGGATCACTTGAGCCTAGGAGTTTGAGACTAGCCTGGTTAACATGGAAGACCGTGTCTCTACAAAAAATAAAAAAATTGGCTGGGTGTGCTAGTATATGCCTGTAGTCCCAGCTACTTGGGAGGCTGAGGTGGGAAGATTGCTTGAGCCCAAGAGACGGAGGTTGCAGTGAGCTGAGATCACACCACTGTACTCTAGCCTGGACAACAGAGCAAGATGCTGTCTCAAAACAAAAACAAACAAACAAAAAAGACTACTAGGTTACTAGGTACCAGAGCCATATATTTCTATACGTAATGTGAATTAACTATTATTTACATTTTACAGATAAGAAAACAGCTTAATCCAAATACTATTAAGTATAGAGCTGCAGTTCAAATTCAGCTTCACTCTACAGCTCTGGCTCCTATTATATAGCTCATGCCTAAGAAACCCCTTCCTGAATTGATGTTTATGGTACTTAAAAGCTTTTAAATGCTGAGTGTCCAGAAGGTAGATGAGGAGGAATAGAACTACAGGTTTTTCCTTATCCGAAATGCTTGGAACCCGAAGTGTTTTGGATTTTTTCAGATTTTGAAATATTTGAATACACATAATGAGCTATCTTGGGGATAGGACCGAATTTAAACATAAACTCCATTTGGGCTTTACATATACCTTATACACACAGCCTGAAGGCAATCTTATATGAAACTTGTTTTTTTTTTTAGATAGTCTTGCTCTGTCACCTAGGATGGAGTGCAGTGGAGTTATCATAGTCCACTGCAGTCCTGAACTCCTGAGCTCAAGTGATCTTCCCACCTCAACCTCCTGAGAAGCTGGAGCTACAGGTGTTAATTTTAAAAAATCCTTAAAAAAATTTGTAGACACAAGATCTTGCTATGTTGCCCAGGCTGGTCTCAAACTTGTGGCCCCAAGTTTCACATTTGGGGGCATTTTGGATTTCCAATATTCTGATCAGGGATGCTGAACCGGTAATGGTCATCAGGTGGAAAATAAATTGCACTAATTCAATAAAAACATAGTTGGATTGCCAATTTCCTATAAAAATTCGTGCATACAGATGAATTCAAAATACACCTGTGTGCATTTGGACCTAACCTAATAAATCATGTACAATGACTGAGAAGACATATGACAACATCCTAGAAAGACAATACATTATTGCCAACAAAACTGCTTAGCACTAAGCTCTGCTAGGCCTATGTAGACTGAATTTCTGCCTCTCCTCTGACACTGATTGGCAGTTATACAATTCATACATTTTTCTTTCCTTTTTCTTTTTTATTTTGAGACGGAGTTTCGCTCTTGTTGCCCAGGCTGGAGTGCAATGGCGCGATCTTGGCTCACCGCAACCTCCGCCTCTCGGATTCAAGGGATTCTCCTGCCTCAGCCTCCTGAGTAGCTGGGATCACAAGTATGCGCCACCATGCCCAGCTAATTTTGTATTTTTGTTAGAGACGGGGTTTCTCCATGTTGGTCAGGCTGGTCTTGAATTCCCGACCTCACGTGGTCCACCCGCCTAGGCCTCCCAAAGTGCTGGGATTACAAGCGTGAGCCACCGCGCCCAGCTTTTTTTTTTGGGACAGATTCTCACTCTGTGGCCCAGGCTGGAGTGCAGTGGTACAACTACAGCTCACTGCAACCTCTGCCTCCCAGGTTTAAGTGATTTTCTTGCCTCAGCCTTCCGAGTAGCTGGGACTACAGGCACGTGCCACCATGCCCGGCTAATTTTTGTATTTTTAAGTAGCGACGGGGTTTCACTGTTGGCCAGGCTGGTCTCGAACTCCTGACCTCTTCATCCGGTCACCTCGGGCTTCCAAAGTGCTGGGATTACAGGCGTGAGCCACCGCGCCTGGCCATACGTTTTTCTTTTAAAAGGCAAGGTCGGCCAGGTGTGCTGGCTCACGCCTGTAATACTAGCACTTTGGGAGGCTGAGGCGGTTGGATCACGAGATCAGGAGTTCGAGACCAGTCTGGCCAACATAGTGAAACCCCCGTCTCTACTAAATATACAAAAAATTAGTCGGGTGTGGTGGCGGGCGCCTGTAAACCTAGCTACTTGAGAGGCTGAGACGGGACAATCGCTTGAACCCGGGAGGCGGAGGTTGGAGTGAGCGGAGATTGCGCCATTGCACTCCAGCCTGGGTGACAAGAGTGAACCTCTGTCTCAAAAATAAAAATAAAAAAACAAACCAAAAGGGTAAGCGCATCATTTTGGTGCAACGGTGTCGGCTCAAGAGGATTTGCGGTTTGGAAGAGAGCGAGGTTAGCGAGGAGACAGAAGGCTAGGACTTATATGAACGTAAGCTGCTTGGGGAGGGGAGGCAGCCAGCGTCTTCCCTGCTTCAGGCCAGGCATGGGATACCGGCTAGCGGGCGGTCACTGGGTCACATCTCTACGGACGTTTTCCTGTTATAACAGCCTCAGAAAACCCATTCCAAAAGCTCCGGCCCGGAAATCCCATCCTCCACCCGAAGAAAACTCCATTTTCCTTTCCCGTCACCTTCGCTCGGAAGCCCCGGGGAAGCTCAGACCACCCCTCCACACACGCACAGCACCGAGGGCCTGCCTAGAACCCTCCCCGTCACCCTCGCCGTGATCCGCGGCGCGGCGGCCCCCCAGGCTCCCCAGACCCACCTGCAGCCTCAGTGCCAACAGGGACCCCGAGACCAAGGGCAGCTCAGCCACCCGCGCCAGTGGAAGCTGCGACCTCGGGACCTGCCATTCGCCGCGCCGGCACGGAGCAGAGGGGTGACGCCAGCAAATCATACTACTTCTTCCTCCTCAAGGTTGACTCCTTTTTTTTTTTTTTTTTAGCTTCCAAACATTATCAATAATTTCTGAATACAATTTCGCTACACTCAGACGAGGCGTGCAGGTATGAGCGCCGTCGCCTTCCCACAGCCCCGTGCCCACCCCCCCGGAGATGGTCTCGCCCTGGGTCCTCCTCGTTTACACCGCTCGCCTCCAGCTCCAAAATGGCGGCCGCCGCTGGGGGGGCTTCTGCCGGCCGGTAGTGCCCCGCGCTGCTAAGCCAGCATCGGCTTTTCCACCTCTTGAACCTGGATTCGCTTAGGGGTTGGGAAGGGCAGTGGACGGCGTTGGGGGAGGCCTGACGAGGCAAGTGAGGGCGGGAGAAAGGAGTAAGCCTCTGGCGGGGGAAGGCGGCGTCACTGGCCCTCCGGGAGCGCCGGGCCCCGACTCCGACCCGGTCTCCCCCAAGGACTCGCCCCTGCCGCTTCGGCTGCGACTGTCCCTGTCGTTCCTGGCAGAAGTGGTCAGCGAGGGAAAGAGAAGTGACTTCTCCATGGGTTTCAAGCTCCCAGCTGTTTTGCGGCAGCTCGTACGGTTCCCTCCCGGGATCTTCTTTCCTCCTTTCTGCTTCCCTCTGCTTACCCTTTCATCTCTTGGCGCTGGAGGAGTTAAGCCGACGCCAGCTTTAGCTGCTTAGCCTCGTGGCTACGGCGTTCTCAGCCTCCCCCGCTCGGGCTCTTCCCGTCGTTTTGGGTTGAGAGACCACGAGGTTACTAAGCTCTGGGCACCGCGTAGGCGTCCTTTTAGTTCATCGACTCCAGAGACCTTTAGGATGTTTGTACCACGCTGTACTAAAAGGGTCTCGGCCCTTCGCGCCCTCCCGCCATTGCCCCCCCAGCGCTTCCACTATCACTGTGAAGTTATAATTCTTTTTTGACTTCGTACTGTTTTACGTGCTCTTTAGAAAACAAGAGGTCAGACTGTAACCCCGGCAAGTCTGGCCTCCTGTGACCAGGCGAACCTGAGCTATCATTTATACCCATCCCCTAATTTTTAATTTTACAATCCCTTTAACCCCTTTTTTTCCTTTCTTTTTTCTTCTTTTTTTTTTTTTTTTTTTTTTAATAGAGACGGGGTTTCACTATGTTGCCCAGGCTGGTGTCGAACTCCTGGGTTCAAGAGAACCTCCCATTTTGGCCTATGCTGGGATTACAGGCGTGAGCCACCATGCCCGGCCTTGCAGCCCCAGTATGAAATTGCTGCTTTCCCTCAACTGACAGGAAAGAGACTTCCCCACTCAGTGAGTTCCAGGGCTAACCCAAACTCCTCTGTTTTCCCTTGGATTTTGCTTAGTTCACCTTAGTTGTCATCAACATGCACGGTCATGATTTTTTATTTTTTATTTTTGAGAAGGAATCTCGCTCTGTTGCGCAGGCTGGAGTACAGTGTCACGATTCTCGAGGCACTGCCACCTCTGCCTCCCGGGTTCAAGTGATTCTCCTGCCTCAAGAGTCACGAGTAGCTAGGAGTACAGGCGCGCACCACCAAGCCCGGCTAATTTTTGTAGTTTTAGTAGAGACAGGGTTTTACCTTGTTGGCCAGGATGATCCGCCCGCCTCGGCCTCCCAAAATGCCGGGATTACAGGCGTGAGCCACCGCGCCCAGCTGATTTATTATTTGAGACGGGGTCTCGCTCTGTCCCCCAGGCTGGAGTGCAGTGGTGCCATCTCAGCTCACTGCAACTTCCGCCTCCCGGGCTCAAGCAATCCTCCCACCTCAGCCTCCCAAGTAGCTGGGGTCACCAGCGCAGCCACCGCGCCCGGCTACTTTTTTGCGTTTTTAGTAGAAATGGGGTTTTGCCATGTTGCCCAGGCTGGTCTGGAACTCCTGAGCTCAAGCGATCGGCCTTCCTCGGCCTCCCAAAGTGTTGAGATTACAGGCGCAAGCCACTGCGCCCGGCAACATGCACGATCATTATTGAGAGGGCAAGTAACTGTGAGATATTGGGTATTGGATATACAACGATGATCACTTTTACTCCTCTATACATTGAAAATCCATTCAAATACTTTATGTGCCCGCTTTATAACAAAATAACTTGGGTTAGGGCAACAAAAAGGCTTTATAAAGGAGTAAATATGTGAGTTGGGTCATGTAGCATCAAAAGGAATTTGCTGAGCTCAAAAGGAGAAGGTAATTTCGGGATTCAGTACAGGAATATAGAGCTTTGAGAAGCTTTAGCATACTTAGGGAGAGTGGGATAATCAACCTGCTTGAGCATTTAGTGCATGAGTGATTGGTGAAGCAAGAGGTAGGTTAAGATCAGCTTGTGAAGGATCTTGATTTCCAATAGGGAGTTTAGATTTTATTCAGTAGTTAGCAGGAATCCAGTGGATATTTTGTGCAAGGAGTGAGCAGGAGGGTATTTGTTTTTTTAGGATGGTCTCTGACAGCTATATAGAGGATCAACTGGGAACAGAAAAACTAGATGAAAGGAAATTGGCAATCATTCAGGTAAGGCAATGAGGGCCTCCATGGAGGCAGGACATAAAGGAGGTCAGAGAGACACTAAGTAAATGTCAAATGGGATTCACCTGCTGACTGCTAAGTTAATGGTAAGAAGGTGACTTGAGTTTTTATTCTGGGAGAGTAAATGGTTGGCAATACTATTAAAACTTAGTCTGAGACATGCACACAAACATACGATGGTGCCAACCTGCACTTTAGGGGTGACAACACAATGCTCTATAGTGTAAAGCATTGATTTTTATGGTCTGGAGTCTAGATCTGCACTGTTATAGTAGTCACTAGCCACATGTAGCTACTGAGCACTTCAGATGTGGTTAGTCTAATTGAAATGTGCTGTAAATATAAAATACACAGTGGATTTTGAAGATTTAATATGAAAATGTAAAATATTCAACATGATTATATGTTGAAATAATATTTTGGTTCTACTGGGTTAAATAAAATACATTAAAATTCACCTGTTTCTTTTTCACTTTTCCATGTCACCACGAAGAAATTTAAACGTACATTTGTGGCATGCATTATATGTCTGTTGACAGAGCTGTTCTAGTCTAGACTAGATGTGGGAATTTGTAAGGAGGTGGAATATGAGCTGGGCCCAAAGACATTGAGCAGTGATGTCAGGGTGGCTTCCTGGCAACCTCCATTGCCAGTTAAGGCATTTGGTTTGTCTTTTCTCAAGCAGTAAGAAGCCTTCAAAGATTTCTGAGCAAGGGGTAATATGTGCAGGGTATTTCTGAAGATGAATCTGGTAGTGATGTTTAGGTTGGATGAAGGGAGGAAAGGAGGCAGAGAAACTGAGAAACCCAAACATAAGGTAGTGAGGCCCTTCCTGTATTAGGGTACTGGCAGTAGGGATAGAAAGAGAATGATATGCAAAGCGTTGCTGAGGGAAGAATAATCAGGAGGTGGTAATAATAGACTGTCCCAGAAATGAAGAATCAGCATGTAGCATTCCAAGCCTTGGTTACTTAGATAACAACTAATATATTCATGTCGCAGAGCTGTGAAATACAATTTGAGACTGAAGAAATTTGGTCTCAAGGTAGAATCAGCAAAGTTAGGAGGGAGTGGTCCACTAAATACTTTCTCTTTTTATCACCCTGCTTTCTGTATCATCTTATCAATCATACGCACCAGCTAATATCCCCAAAATACAGAATTACCTATATCATGCCATCTTTCTACTTGATAATGAGTCTTAAAATGTTTCTGTTGCCTGCAGGACTAGGTTCACAGTTTCCAAGGCCTTTCATTATCTGGCCCCTTTCTGTTCATTAGGCCTTACCTTTTCTGCTTTTGTGAATGTGTGCCAGGCTAGTTTTTTCACTGGTACTTTAAAACTTTTTACTCAAAAGTGCGGAGATCTGAGATCTCTGGTACTCCTTTACTCCTGTTATTTCTCTGTTTTAAGTACCTTCTCTTTGTTTCTACCCATGTCTTATCCTTAGTGAGTAATCTTAAATCCCACCTCTTCTATGATTCTCAATAACATAAGGTAATATCAACTTTAAAAAAAAACTTCCCATATATATATATATATATATATTTTTTTTTTTTTTTTTTTTTTTTGAGATGGAGTCTTGCTCTGTCGCCCAGGCTGGAGTGCAGTGGTGCGATCTCGGCTCACTGCAAGCTCCATCTCCTGGGTTCACACCATTCTCCTGCCTCAGCCTCCCGAGTAGCTGAGACTACAGGTGCCTGCCACTGTGCCTGGCTGATTTTTGATATTTTTTTTTATTAGAGACGGGGTTTCACCGTGTCAGCCAGGATGGTCTCGATCTCCTGACCTCATGATCCACCCGCCTCGGCCTCCCAAAGTGCTGGGATTACAGGCGTGAGCCACCGCGCCTGGCCCCTAAATATTTTTATGTCTTTTATTATCTGTTTATGTAAGCTTAAGCTTCCTAAAATTAAGACAGATCTCTTTTTTATAAAAGGACCACATATTATACTACTTGGTGCTGCTCCTGATGCCTTAGGGCAAGATACAAATTAAACACCATAATTGTAAACAGAATGAAATCATAATACCACATTCATAAGGCTTTTATTTATTTTTTAGATTGATAAAGAACTCTTCAGAATTCCTGGTGTTTCATCATATATACGACTGAGATATCAGTAAGTAGTGAATGTTTAATAAAGATATAGCTTTATTATGAATAATTGTAGTGAAAATATCTTTTCATCTGTTGAAATCTTGGTCTGTCTGCAAAAAAAGTTTTAATATGAACGTACTCAGTTCTAGCTGCAAGATACCGTGCATGTTACTTCATAATCTAAATGAAGAAAGTGGGAATTAAGGAAGACTTAAGTAGAAAAGAATTTCCTTTAGGCCATTGTTATAATTGTGGTACAGTAAGCTTTTTGGCAGGGATAGTTTCCAAGGTCCTTTCCAAAATTGTATTTATAAACATTTTTCATCAAATAGAGAATTAATGTCTTTGTACCCCAAATAAGAACACACAAAGGCCAGGTGTGCTGTCTCACACCTGTAATTCCAGCATTTTGGGAGGCCAAGGTGGGTGAATCACTTGAGCCCAGGACTTAAAGAGCAGCCTGGACAACATAGTAAAACCCTGTCTCTACAAAAAATTAGCTGAGTGTGGTGGTGCATGCCTGTAGTCCCAGCTACCCAGGAGGCTGAGGTGGGAGGATCACTTGAGCCCAGGAGGTTGAGGCTGCAAATGAGCCATGATTGCACCACGGCACTCCAGCCTGGGTACCAGAGCAAGATCCTGTTTCAGGAAACAAAAACAAGTCAATATATTTTAAATTTTAACTTACCAACAGTTATTTATTGAATAACCACTATGTGCAGGGATGTGCTAATGTACTAAGGATAAAAAAATGGGTCAAGCCAACTCCTGTACTCAGAGAGCTCTCCTAAGCAAGGGCAAATATATGTAGATGGGTTCCAGTTTATGGTGTGGTAAGTGAGCTTATTTAATACTAGCCATGCCCCGTTCCTTCATTTAAGAAACATTCATCGGCTACCACTGTATGTTAGGCACTGTGGAGGCATTGGTAACTGTGATCAAAACAGAGAAAGTCTTTACCTTCATGGAGTCCACATTCCAGTGTGGGCACAGGAGGAGAGAAGGTGACAGACAAAGCAAGTAAATAAATAAGTAGCAATTAGCACTAAGTATTTTGAGGGAAATAGAATGATGTTGTAATGGGCGTGAAGAAGGGCTTTAGGGTGGTCAGAGAATGACTACCTCTGAGAATGACTCAGTAAATTAGAGACAGGGAAAATATATAAACAAGTTAGAGGTTTTGGTCACAGTGAAGAGAGAAGAAAATTTGAGAAATATAATGAGTTGTTATGAAAGTATATCCCTGGAAGTGCTTTATAAAGGTCCTTGATAAGTCTCTGTACAACTTAAGCCAACGGACATTTCTCTGGCTTCTCAGACTTAGTGCAAATGGGAGGTGAGGAAGTGGAGACTTAGTGCAAATGGGAGGTGAGGAAGTGGAGACTTAGTGCAAATGGGAGGTGAGGAAGTGGAGATATATCTGTGGACAAATATTTTGAGAAGTTTTTTTGTGAAAGGGAAATCCAAAAATGATGCAGTGGTTGTTGGGGGTTGAAGGGTTGAGAGAGGGTTCTTATAAGTTGGGAAATTCTAGAGTATTTTTATAAGCTTGCAGGAATGGTCCATCAGTGATACACTGATGCAGGGGAAAGAGCAAATGACTGAAGATGTCAAGTCTTTCAGAAGGTGAATAGAAATGGGATCAACAGCGCACATAGAGGGACTGACCTTGGGTGGGAGCAGGACTGTTCTATACAATAGGAGACCCAACAGTGTACATGCAGATAGGCTAATAGATGTAGTATCTGGAAAATGAGAAATTACTCTCTAATTTTATCAGCTGAGACTAGGGTGGAGGGAGGGATGGGTGATCTTTGAACAAAGAGGAGGAGGTGTGGAGAAGTCATCTCAGAAATTGAAAGTCAACCTACTAAGAAAAGTCAGATTGAAGGGTAATACTTAGGGCCTACTTGAGGCCTTTGGCCATGAATTTAAAGAGCAAATAGCATTAACTGGGCATGGTGGCGGGTGCCTGTAATCCCAGCTACTCGGGAGGCTGAGGCAGGAGGAATACTTGAACCCAGGAGGCAGAGGTTACAGTGAGCTGAGATCTTGTGGCTGTACACCAGCCTGGGCGACAAGAGTGAAACTTTGTCTCAAAAAAAAAAAAAGAAAAAAAATGAGCTGGGTGGATCATGAGGTCAAGAGATCGAGACCATCTGGCCAACATGGTGAAACACCATCTCTACTAAAAAAAAAATTAGCTGGGCGTGGTGGCGCATGCCTGTAGTCCCAGCTACTCAGGAGGCTGAGGCAGGAGAATCACTTGAACCTGGGAGATGGAGGTTGCAGTGAGCCAAGATCGTGACACTGCACTCCAGCCTGGCGACAGAGTGAGACTCAGTCTCAAAAAAAAAAAAAAAAAAAAAAACCAAATAGCACAGCTGTAATTCTCCTCCATATCCCATCCCCCCCAACCCCCGCATGATTGGAGTTAATCAGGACTGGGGTTTTTCCAGCCTAGTAGAGAGAAGGACTAGAGGAGCAAGACATTTGAGTGTTTGCAAATAATCTTAACAGATCATGAATTGAAGGTGAGGACCTGAGTGAAAACAGGAGGGGGTCGTGGATAGGGAAAAAGTAGCCAGCGAATTAGAGAGATACCACTGAGCACAGAGGATTTTTGCAATGGGAATACTAGAGTAAGTAAGGTGTTAGAGAGTGAGATGCTTGAAGGTGAAATTTTCAAAGTAGTACAGTTACTGATAGTGATAAGTTTTAGGGTGTAATCGTAATGCTGGGTGGCTGAAGTGAAATGAAGATTATTGGAGTTGAGGAAGTCAAGGAACCAACAGGTCAGTATTGAAGTTACTCAGAGGAACAAGGGTCATGTAAAAGTCCCCAGTGAATGAGGCCGGGTTAATGGATGCCATAGTGAAGGGGAAATGTGAAAGACGAATAGTGAACTGCTGGGTGGCAAGAGCTTTAATGGGACTAGAATATTTGAAAGAGGAAGGAGAAGACATGGTTTAGAAGCTGCAGTGAGGAGCAAGGAGCACATACCTCCTGCTTTTCAAGTACAGGGGGTACAAAAAGTTAAAACAACAACCACAAAAAACCTTGAGAAGGCTGTAAGAGAAAGAGTATGATTAGGGAACAGCCAGGTACCTGGGAAGACAAACAGGTGAAGAGAATTTTCAGAGAAGCAGTTGCAGTTACAGGTGAGTAGAATCATAGTTCCAGAGAGCATCCTGAAAGGATTTGAGAGGGAGAAGAGGTAGGGGATTAGGTCTTACTGGGAGATGTATGCATCATTGATAGTTGATAACCTAGCAGTCTTGTGATTTTGGAAAGCTGGGAGATGTGGTGGGTTTAGCAGCCCCTGTCAGCCTCTTGTGAAAGGTGGATTTCAGTTTACCTCAGTTTGTTGATGACCTTGAGTAGTGGTGAGAAATTATTAGGTAATTCAGTGGCCTTCTCTCCTATTTGCATAGTTAGCCAGGAAAGGCTCATTTATTTTAGGGAGCTGAAATATGAAATGTTGCTGTGGGGTTGAACTTTGTTAATGAATATTTTCATAACTTCTGCTTAATAGCACAGTTCCAGGTTCTAAATCCCATTTTTTTTTAAAAAGTATATATTTTATTTTATTTTATTTATTTTTTAGATACAAAGTCTCCCTCTGTTGCCCAGTCTAGGGTACACTCTAGGGTTTCACTCTGTGCCCAGTCCAGTGGCACACTCATAGCTCACAGTAACCTCAAACTCCTGGGCTCAATCAATTCTCTCATCTTGGCCTTCTGAGTAGCTAGGACTACAGGTACATGCCACCAGCCAGTATTTTTATTTTTTATTTTTGTAGAGACAGGGTCTCACTACATTGCCCAGGCTGGTCTCAAACTCCTGAACTCTAGCAGTCTTCCTGCCTCGGCCTCCCAAAGTGGTGGGATCACAGGCATGAGCCACCATGCCTGGCCTATAGATGTGTTCATGTTATATTTTCCTGAAATATATGTAGTAGGCATCCCAATTTGCATTCCATCAGATATATGTTGAGCGTGCATCAGGTTCTATTTAGGAGTTGCAAACATATGCCACCTGTGTTTTTCTGTTGCTCACATTCCAATGCAAGGGTTCTTAATGTTAAACTCCCTGAAAAGTTTGTGAATTTCTGTGTGTATATGTACTCTTGTTTTTTGTTAGGTTGTGTTGAGAGTTGGTGGGGGAGAGGGGAGGGCCCATAGGTTTTTATCAGATTCTCAAAGGGGTCTATTTAAGGACCACTGGTCTAATTAGTAGGAGAGAAAGACACATAAACTAATCGTTGTAATGCAGTGAAATCAGTGCCATCACAAAGCACGATAAAAGACGAACAGATTCACCTTGAAGGATGAGTTCATTAATTCCTAAACATTTATTTATTGAGGAACTTGGATGCAGTAGTATCTGTTGTAAGTAATTTATACATTATTTGAAATACTTCATCCTTTTTACATATCTGTTAATACTAATGTTTTATAGACTGAGATACACAGGTGAGGAAAGTTTAATTAACTTGCTTCAAATCACATAGTAGATTCATATATGGGTCTATTTGATTGCAACATTCACGACCCCACTAGGGAGCCACTAAAGGGCTCATTGTGTCCAAGATTATGTTTGTGCTTTTAAACTTGGCAGTGACTTAATAAACTTGCTTTCACTTAAAAAATAAGTAAACTTGGCAGTGATGGAAATGGGCCTTTAAACTGCTTTTTGTGTTAATGGAATTTCTATGAACTTAAATATTTGAACTAATTTTAATCAATTTGTCTATTATATATGCCAGATGGTGCTTTTATGTTTATTTATGTTTTCATTTCATTTGAAAGACCCTTCTAGCTTGCTGTTTCTGGACCAAAAAAAATGACGTCTATTATCAAGTTAACTACCCTTTCTGGGGTCCAAGAAGAATCTGCCCTTTGCTATCTTCTCCAAGTTGATGAGTTTAGATTTTTATTGGACTGTGGCTGGGATGAGCACTTTTCTATGGATATTATAGATTCCCTGAGGAAGTAAGTTACATTTCATAATTCTAGGTTTTTATTAAATCAACTTCTCTTTTCTGTACCGTAATACCATTTCAATGTAATAAATATTGCCTTTTTACACTAGTTTATAGCAAAAGGCTTAATTTTGCTTATGCCAAAAACCTATAGTGACCATTTTAACTTGTAGAGTTTTGATTGACTTATAAGCTTTGCTTGTTGAAATTCAGCAAAATCTTAAGCTAATGGATTTCAGTAGAAATTTTTGCATGCTAATTTTTGGAAAGAACAAGAATACATAAGAATTTGAGAAAAGGAAACATTTTCCACGTGAAAGTTCTGTGGTCAGATCACATTAGCTTACTTTTCTACATCTTTTGATGCTAAACATTGTGAACTGGTTCTCAGAATGACCATGAGATACTGATTCATCCAAAAAAAAAATCATTTATGGGCTGGGCATGGTGGCTCGCGCCAGTAATCCCAGCATTTTAGGAGGCTGAGGTGGGCGGATCACTTGAGTTCAGGAGTTCGAGACCAGCCTGGCCAACATGGTGAAACCCCAACTCTACTAAAAATACAAAAACTAGCCGGGTATGGTGGTGTGCACCTATAGTCCCAGCTACTTGGGAGGCTGAGGAAGGAGAATTGCTTGAACCCAGGAGGCAGAGATTGTACTAAGCCTAGATCATACCATTACACTCCAGCCTGGGCGACAGAGCAAAACTCTGTCTCAAAAAAAAAAATCAATTATGTTTGCAGTATTATACCAATTTTGCAAGAAAAGAGGACTTAAATATTTAAAAAACTTTAGAACTTGAAAAAAAAATCCAAACCATTTTATTAATTTATTGTGTCAATGAGAACATATGCCTCCCTGATTAATTGAAGTTTTACTATTCAATTAGCAAAACTGTTTGTGGTTACTGTGCGAAAACGCTGGGATAAAAATCCATTATAAGTATGTGGTCATATAAATATCCTCTCCTTAATAATTTCTGAAATTCTTCTCTTTTTTTTGAGATGGAGTTTTGCTCCTTCCTGTTGCCCAAGCTGGAGTGCAATGGCATGCTTTCGGCTCACTGCAACTTCCACCTCCAGGGTTCAAGTGATTCTCCTGTCTCAGCCTCCCAAGTAGCTGAGATTATAGGCATGCACCACCCGCCCGGCTAATTTTTTGTATTTTTAGTAGAAACAGGGCTTCACCATGTTAGCCAGACTGGTCCCGTACTCAAGACCTCAGGTAATCCGCCCACTTCAGCCTCCTAGAGTGCTGGGATTATAGCCATGAGCCACCATGCCCAGCCAATAATAATTTCTGAAATTCTAAGCTGAGTTCTTGAACTTAATAGTTTGCAACTGGGCGCAGTGGCTCACGCCTGTCATCCTAGCACTTTGGGAGGCTGAGGCGGGTGGATCACTTGAGGTCAGGAGTTCGAGACCAGCCTGACCAACATGGTGAAACCCCATCTCTAGTAAAATTACAAAAATTAGCTGGGCATGGTAGCGCATGCCTGTAATCCCAGCTACTCAGGAGGCTGAGGCAGGAGAATCACTTGAACCTGGGAAGCGGAGGTTGCAGTAAGCCAAGATTGCACCATTGCACTAGAGCCTGGGCAACAAGAGTGAAGCTCCATCTCAGGAAAAAAAAAAAAAAAGAAGTGTTAAGTGAACCTGGGTGCGGTGGCTCATGCTTGCAATCCCAGCACTTTGGGAGGTAAAGAAGGGCGGATCACCTAAGGTCAGGAGTTTAAGACCAGCCTGGCCAACATGGTGAAAGCCTGTCTTTACTAAAAATACAAAAATTAGCCAGGCATGGTGGTGGACACCTGCAATCCCAGCTACTCCAGAGGCTAAGGCAGGAGAATCACTTGAACTGAGCAGCTGAGGTCGCGCCAGTGCACTCCAGCCTGGGCAACAGAGCGAGACTACATCTCTAAAAAAAAAAATATCATGCAGGATAGCTATTAAAAATCAACTTACGGCCAGGCATGGTGGCTCACCCCTGTAATCCCAGCACTTTGGGAGGCTGAGGCGGGCAGATCACCTGAGGTTGGGAGTTCGAGACCACCCTGACCAACATAGAGAAACCCCATCTCTACCAAAGATACAAAATAAACTGGGTGTGGTGGCACATGCCTGTAATCCCAGCTACTCGGGAGGCTGAGGCAGGAGAATCGCTTGAACCCAGGAGGCAGAGGTTGTGATGAGCTGGAGGTCGCGCCATTGCACTCCAGCCTGGGCAACAAGAGCGAAACTCCATCTTAAAAAATATCAACTTATTTGTGGTGTCTACTGTTCTTTTTCATTTTTGTTCTTGTTTTTATTTTTAGGCAGGGTCTCACTCTGTCACTCAGACTGGAGTGCGGTGGCATGATATCATCAAGCTCAACCTCCTGTGCTCAAGTGATCCTTCCACCTCTGCCCCCCAAGTAGCTGGGACTACAGGCTCATGCCACCACACCTGGCTTTTTTTTTTTTTTTTGTATTTTTTATAGACATGTTTTGCCATGTTGCCCAGGCTAATCTTGAACTCCTGAGCTCAAATGATTTGCCTGCCTTGGCCTCCCTAAGTGCTGGGATCACAGGTGTGCACCATCACACCTGGCCTTCTTTTCTATTTAAAATGTGTCTACACACCATATATTTAAGAGTACCTTATACTACATTTTTTATAGCTATGCAGAGCACAGGTAGTAATAATTGAAATTCATAGGTAATCATAATTTTAGCTCTTAGTTTTGCTCTTCTGCCCCAGCATAGTCTTCAATCCAGAATTCCAGAATTGGGGAATAATTTTGAATATTCTGTCTTTACCCTTTGAAAAGATTCAAGTAGTCGTCCTTTGGATTGTGTTCTTGTAGGCACGTTCACCAGATTGATGCAGTACTGTTGTCTCACCCTGATCCTCTCCACCTTGGTGCCCTCCCATATGCTGTCGGAAAGTTGGGTCTGAACTGTGCTATCTATGCAACCATTCCTGTTTATAAAATGGGACAGATGTTCATGTATGATCTTTATCAGGTAATTTAAGCAATTAAAAAAATTTTGTTAGCACTCCTTCAGTGATAGTTTTTCACCTTTATTTGTGTTATTCTTTTAGTCTCGACACAATACGGAAGATTTTACACTCTTTACATTAGATGATGTGGATGCAGCCTTTGATAAAATACAGCAGCTAAAATTCTCTCAGATTGTGAATTTGAAAGGTAAAAAGAATTTCCAGTAGTAAGTACTTAGATGAATGGGGTTTAACTTGCTAGAAAATACTGAGGAGAATTCAGAGAGAAAATTATAGGCATTATGGTCTGAAGAATAAAAAAATTAGCACGTTCTGCCTTGATATAGAACTCTTAACTTCCATTTGAATTTTAAAATATTTCAGAATAAATGCCAACAAAATGTTAATAGCTCAGGCTTTTTCAAATTTAACTTGGGAAAGACTCATTTAGTGTTTACCGTGTATAATAAACAAAAGATAATTTGGCCATTTCCTCCTCCTCAGAGCTTACAGTTAGATTGAGGCGACAAAGTAGCTGAGATGGCTAAATGTAGTGATTGGGGTAAATGAAGTGCTATGGCAGCAGAGTAGATAATGAATTCTAGCATTGGACATTAAAAAGTTTATTATTGAATTAGGTCAGGAAGTCCTATATTAAGTCTATATTTATCATCTACAGAGAGAATTGTATTAGATATTTTCATAGAAATGAACCCTGGCATTGATAAAATAGTGCAATAATGGACTGAAGATTTAGCCCAGAAATAACAATAGTCTCAACAGTTTTGCTTCTAGTTAGTTTTTCTGTAGGATAAATTCTTTAGCACAATGAGATTTAAATTATTCTGTTAGTTTAGAGGTTAGCAAAAATGGAAACATTTGATAATTGTATATATAAAATACACATTAAAATTTGCTAGTTCATACTAAATAATTTAATAGTGTACTAGCTTTTAAATCTAATCTCTAGCCTTGTACTTATAAGCACAAATATCTCTACAAGAATACATAATAAAGTAACAAGAATGTTTGCCTCCAGTGAGGGAGTGGAGTAGCTGGGAGATAGGAGAATGAAGCCTGCTTTCACTATATGCATTTTTACTTTTGAATTTTGTGTTATTACATATACAGTATTACCTATTAAAATATTATCATTTAGAAATAAATAACCTTTCTTTAGGGTTGTAAAAGAAATCTGAGTGTTGTTACCTTGTTGACATAGGTAAAGGACATGGCCTGTCTATCACACCTCTGCCAGCTGGTCATATGATAGGTGGAACAATATGGAAAATAGTCAAAGATGGAGAAGAAGAAATTGTTTATGCAGTTGACTTCAACCACAAGAGGGAGATGTAGGTATATCAAGACAAAAGCTAAAGGAAATGCAATTGGTATTATTTTATTCTTTGAAGGGAAAATAAGAAACACAGTTTTTGTTTTGGTTACCAGAAATTTAGGGTAACTTAAAAGCATCAAATAGGGATGTTTTCAAAATTAATTATTTGCATAGTAAGGGGGAAAAGTATGGTATAAGACATAAGAGATTTTAAAAATTTACACGTTAAGTATACACTCTACAAAACAGATACCTCCCTGGAGATGTTGCAAAGGAGATGAATTTTAAATATGAAATTATGTAAATAATAGCAAGTTCTCGACCTGCTATTTAACAAAACTTTGTGGATGGGTTGTTCTTTTGTTTTGTAATGTGATATGGTTTGGCTCTGTGTCCCCACCCAAATCTCATCTTGTAGCTCCCATAATTCCCACGTGTTGTGGGTGGGACCCAGTGGGAGATGATTGAATTATGGGGGCGGGTCTTTCCCATGCTGTTCTTGTGATAGTGAATGGGTTTCACGAGATCTGCTGGTTTTAAAAACGGGAGTTGCCCTGCACATAATGTAATTACCATCTAATATAACTGCCCTGAATATTTAAAGTTAGTCCCTTTGAAAGGGAACTCAATGCTAGTTATGATTTTACACACTTCATGTGGCACTCAGAGCATTACTATACAATATTTTGGTGTTTAGTCTCTTACAGGCTTGTTTTGTTTTATCTGTACACTAAGTTCATAGCTATTTTGTGTTACATTACAGTAGTCTCAGAATCTTTATATTAAGAAATATTTAACACAAATATACTGAATTTTAGACGCTTATAACCATAGATTAATGAGGAAAGGATGGTTATGTTGCAGGCTGAAAGAGTGAGGGTCGTGATAACTCAGTATACCACTGGAGGCTATATGAGTAAACAGCAAGCTGTTCTCATAAATGCAGAATGTTGGCAAACTGACAAACTGTGTTTGCCACCCAGAATGCTGAGGGCAGTCATGCCTCAAGTGCAAGTGTTGCCTGTGACTAGGTACATCTGAAGCCTGTTAGCAGTAATGTGAACCTGTGATCAACTAAGCAGCTGACCAATCGTTACCTCCTCCTCCCTGGTCTTTCTACCCAATAAATATGAAGGGCTGTGGAAGCTTAAGGCGGCTGCCTTTGCTCACTAGAAACAGGGAGCTCTCTTCTTTCCTGATCCCTTCCTTTAAAGTAGTTACTTTTGTTTTAAGTTTTCATTTCTACGTTCGTCCTCCTTCGTTCAGTCTCGTAGTAACCATGGCAAACTGTGGCATGGCTATTTGAGTCAATGGTATTGAAGGATTCAACCATTTTGGAAAAAAATCAATTTGTGTCGTTTTAATTATATAACAAAAGAAATTTCAGATGGATTAGAACTAAATAGAAATGAAGCAATATTGGTGAGTCTGATCTCTGAATTGGAAAAGACTTTGTAAGCATAAAAATAATGGACCAAGTTACAAAAGAATAGTTTGATAGATTTGATGACATACAGGTTCAAATGTCTGAAACAACGAATAAAAAAAAAATCAAAGTAGGAAAATATTTGCAGCAAGTTGCCCAAAAACTTGCAACATATATATAAGATCAAGTATTAATTTATTAATAAAAATATACCAGTTGCAAAATGGACAAAAGTTATAAAGTCAAAAAAGAGAAAATTTAAATGATTTTTTTTGTTATACACCGTTAAAATTATTATTCTTATTTATATTTTTATGTATTTTTTTGAGACAGAGTCTCACTCTGTCGCCAAGGCTGGAGGCAAGTGGTACGATCATGGCTCACTGTAGTCTCAACCTCCCAGCTTCAAGTGATCCTCCCATTTTAGCCTCCAAAGTAGCTAGGACTACAGGTGCGCTCTAACATGCCTGGCTATTTTTGTATTTTTAGTAGAGATGAGGTTTTGCCATGTTGCCCAGCCTGGTCTTGAACTACTGGGCTCAAGTGATCTGCCCACCTCTGTCTCCCAAAGTGTTGGGATTACAGGTGTGAGCCACTGCAGTAGTCAAAAATTATTTTTAAATGGTGATTTTCTTCTGGGAAGTATGTAGAATTGGTCAGTCTTTTTGGTTGAACTTTTCTGGGTAATGTTAAATCTTTCTGGAAAGCCTTTTAGCAGTTCTATATATTACAGTAAATACATTTCTAGGAATGTGACCTAAAGAAACAATCAGAAATGCAATTGAAGCTTTTGTAAAAATGTTCTTTGAAAGATTATTATGGCAAAAATAAATGACCTAAATATCAGTAAAGGGAAGGGATCAAATACAGTGTAGACACAATAAAATGTTTTTATAACTGTTAAACATTTAGTTTACAAAAAAAGTTTATGTCATGAGTAAAAACCAGGATATAGAACTGAGTATATAGGAATGTATATGGGATATCAGCTTTGAAAAATACATATGTATATCAGTACCCTAAGACAGGGCGAAAAGAAAAAAAAAATGTGTGCATAGAAAAACTTATATGATTAGAAGGATGTACACCAAAATATTATGTCAGTTATCTCTGAGTAATGGTACTCTGGAAGATTTTTATTTTCTTCTTTATACTTGTTTGAAGTTACTAGATTTCTTATCAATGAGCGTGTCTACTTTTATAGTTAGAAGAGGGAACACCTTATAAATGAAGCTGCTTATTTTTTAAGTAAGAGAAGCTATTATTGTTTACTTGAAATGATATAAAATATTCCTCTTCTTAAAATTTCTTATAGCCATTTAAATGGATGTTCCCTGGAAATGCTAAGCAGGCCTTCCTTACTTATCACAGATTCATTCAATGCTACATATGTACAGCCTAGAAGAAAACAGAGAGATGAGCAGCTTCTGAGTACGTATTCTTTCATGTCCTTATTATTATTTTGTAACTTTTTGTATATTTAGGGTATATAAGTACAGGTTTCTTTGTTTTTTTTCATTTTTTTTTTTGAGACAGACTTTCACTCTTTTACCCAGGCTGGAATAAAGTGGTACGATCTCGGCTCACTGCAACTTTCGCCTCCCGGGTTCAAGTGATTCTCGTGCCTCAGCCTCCCGAGTAGCTGGGATTACAGGTTTACACCACCATGCCCAGCTAATTTTTGTATTTTTAGTGGAGACAAGGTTTCTCCATGTTGGCCAGGCTGGTCTCAAACCTCTGACCTCAGGTGATCCACATGCCTTGGCCTCCCAAAGTGCTGGGATGACAGGCATGAGCCACCGCGCCTGGCCACAAGTACAGGTTTCTTAACGCATATATTGCACAGTGCTGAAATCTAGCCTTTTACTGTATCTGTCCCCAGAATTGTGAATGTTGTACCCAATGTATAATGTCCTTTTTAAGTAGCCATGGAAATGCTTGATAGTGGGAATGACTGTATTCTGTTTAACACTTTTCTTGGTCATAAGAGATTGGTTAACTTTAGTATTTTTGAAAAAATATGGCCGGGCGTGGTGGCTCAAGCCTGTAATCCCAGCACTTTGGGAGGCCGAGACGGGCGGATCACGAGGTCAGGAGATCGAGACCATCCTGGCTAACACGGTGAAACCCCGTCTCTACTAAAAAATACAAAAAACTAGCCGGGCGAGGTGGCAGGCGCCTGTAGTCCCAGCTACTCGGGAGGCTGAGGCAGGAGAATGGCGTAGACCCGGGAGGCGGAGCTTGCAGTGAGCTGAGATCCGGCCACTGCACTCCAGCCTGGGCGACAGAGCGAGACTCCGTCTCCAAAAAAAAAAAAAAAAAAAAAAAGAAAAAATATTATGTGACCATCAGTTTTTGTATAAGAAGAAACTTAGCTGGTTTGAATTTAACTTTTGTGGAAGAGTGTAAAGATTGGCTTCTTTTTGCCAGTCAGTACATAGCTAGCTATCCCTGGCACTCACTGGCATATGTCTATATATAAAAACCTCATACAAATCTATTAGAAAAATATACTCTAGAAGAAAAATGAACAAAGAGCTAAGTGGATAAATGAGGGCACAAAGAGTCCACTAATTTTGGGTGTTTTACACTCTAATATAGTAGGCCATTCATTGCTGCTTGCTTCATCTTACATTTTTTTTTTTTTTCTGAGGTGGTGTCTTGCTCTGTCACCCAGGATAAAGTGCAGTGGCACACTCGGCTCACTGCAACCTCTGCCTCCTGGGTTGAAGTGATTCTTCTGCCTCAGCTTCCAGAGTAGCTGGGATTACAGGCATGTGCCACCATGCCCAGCTAATTTTTGTATTTTTAGTGGAGCTGGGGTTTTGCCATGTTAGCCAGGCTGGTCTTGAACTCCTGACCTCAGGTGATCCTCCCGCCTCAGCCTCCCAAAGTGTTGGGATTACAGGTGTAAGCCGCTGCACCCGGCCTTATAGTCTTTTTAAATAAACTATATGGGATTTCAGCAGGGAAAATTGGATTCCATTTTTAAACATGTTTTCAACCATTGTTTTTAGTTCATCTACTTTAAAAGTATAACTATTAATAATATACTGTGTTGCACCAATTTTAAGAAGCTCAAGCCAGACACTGTGGTTCATGCCTGACATTGTGGTCAATGGTCAACACTTTGGGAGGCTGAGGCAAGAGGATGACTTGAAGCTAGGAGTTCAAGACCAGCCTGGGTAACACAGTGAGACCCCATCTCTTTTTTTTTTTTTTTTTTTTTTTTTTTTGAGACAGAGTCTCGCTGTGTCGCCCAGTCTGGAGTGCAGTGGTGTGATCTTGGTTCACTGCAAGCTCTGCTTCCTGGGTTCATGCCATTCTCATGCGTCAGCCTCCCGAGTAGCTGGGACTACAGGCACCTGCCACCACGTCCAGCTCATTTTTTTGTGTTTTTTAGTAGAGACGGGGTTTCACCATGTTAGCCAGGATGGTTTTGATCTCCTGACCTTGTGATCTGCCCTCCTCGGCCTCCCAAAGTGCTGGGATTACAGGGGTGAGCCACTGCGCCTGGCCTTTTTTTTTTTTTGAGATGTAGTCTTGCTCTGTCACCAGGCTGGAGTGCAGTGGCGCGATCTTGGCTCATTGCAACCTCTGCCTCCTGGGTTCAAGCGATTCTCCTGCCTCAGCCTCCCGAGTAGCTAGGATTACAGGTGTGCGCAACCACGCCCGGCTAATTTTTTGTATTTTTAGTAGAGACGGGATTTCACCGTGTTGGCCAGGATGGTCTCGATCTCTTGATCTCGTGATCTGCTTGCCTTGGCCTCCCAAAGTGCTGGGGATTATAGGTGTGGGCCACCATGCCCGGCCAAGACCCCCATCTCTACAAAAAAAAAAAATTTTTTTTGCCAGGCATGGTGGTACAGGCCCATAGTTCCAGCTGCTTGGGAGGCTGGGGTGGGAGGATTGCTTGAGGCCAGGAGGTTGAGGCTGCAGTGAGCTATGACCACACCACTGCACTCCAGCCTGGGTGACAGAGTGAGACTCTGTCTCAACACATGAACAAACTAAAAAACAGAAAAAGGAGCAGCTCTTTAATTCTTATTTTTGCTAGAGTTCAGTTTTACGACATATTTCCAAGGGGACTTTCATCTAGAGCAAGGAAATCCATAAAGATACACTTGAGAGGGAATATGATCTATATTTTATTCTATAGGCATACACGCATACGAACTATGTGTCATACATAGTTGGCCCTTTGTAGCTGCTGTTCCACATCTGAGGATTCAACTAACTGTGGATTGAAAATATTTGAAAAAACAATAAAAGAAGATAATGCAATAATTTAAAAAAATATAAGTAAAAAAATACAGTGTAACAACCATTTACATAACATTTACATTGTATTAGGTATTATAAGCAATAGAGATGATTTAAAGTATATAGGAGGATGTATGTAGGTTGTATGCAGATATATTTTTTTTTGAGACAAAGTCTTTATTGTACATGCTGGAGTGTAGTGGCACATTCACGACTCTCTGCAGCCTCAAACTCCTGGGCTCAAGCACCTCCCTCTAGCTTCCCACATAGCTAAGACCACAGGCGTGTGCCACCATGCCTGGCTAATTTTTTTATTTTTATAGAGATGTGATCTCCCTATGTTGTCCAGGCTGGTCTTGAACTCCTGGACTCAAGCCATCCTCCTGCCTTGACCTACCAAAGTGCTGGGATTACAGGTGTGAGCCATTGCGCCTGGCCACCATTTTATATGAGGGACTTGGGGCATCTGATGGTTTTGGTATTCGTGGGGGTCCTGGAGCCAGTACCCATGGATACTGAGGGATGGCTGTATATATAATTGTGCGAGTGTATATATATGTATGTACATAAGTTTGGGACAAAGTTCACTGGGGTGGATAGGCGAGACTGGGGTAGCCCAGAAACACCAGGCTGGTTACATTTGGCCTAGCCAAACAATTTTCTCAGTGATACACACACCATTTTCCATGTGTATTATAATGTATAGAGTGTTGAGGACTACTGATTTATAATTTTTCAATGAAAAAAGATGGAGAGTTAATGACACTGAATTTCTGAAGAGATAGTCAACAGAATCAAAAGCAGTTGTAATGACCTGAACAAAATTCCTTCATTTTTTACCTGGCCTAGTAGTTGCTTATTTGTAAATTACAGTCTTTCTAATAAAAACAGAGAGAGAAAATTATCTGTAATTTTGTAGCATAGTATTGTTATGTTCTATAGGGATTTTACATTCTTGTTTTCTAGCAAATGTCCTGGAAACACTTCGAGGTGATGGAAATGTGTTAATAGCAGTGGACACAGCAGGCAGAGTTTTGGAACTTGCTCAACTTCTTGATCAGATTTGGAGGACTAAAGATGCAGGACTGGGTGTTTACTCATTGGCACTCCTAAATAATGTCAGTTACAATGTGGTAGAGTTTTCTAAATCCCAGGTTTGTTCTCATGTTGTCACTTGTAATAAAGAAGTTTGCTACAGTGATTGGGTCTGTGGAAGTGGGTGTCTTCATTGTTTTTTGGATTTTATTTTTCCCTTGAAGAGATTGTTAGTAATGATGATAACTTTCCATTAACCATTTACTGTTCTGTGTGCTTTAAATGTATTATTTCATTTAATCTGTATTTATTCTACTAAGTAGTTTCCCTTTTATCCCTGTTTTAAAGATTTGGCAAATTGCTTCTCTTCTAACTCTTTAGTATCCCAGTCTGTAAAATGGGGACAAAAATAGAACCTACCTCATAGCATATACATGTTAGAATTCATTGTTCTTTCTTTTAAATAAGCTTTTTGCCTTGAAATAGCAATCTCTGGGAGTAAGATTTTCATTTAGAACATATACCTTGCCTTTTCGAAAAGATTTAAGGTGATTTATACGTGAAATATGCAAAATTGGGTTTTTTTGGGATGAAAACTAGGGTGGGATAATCTAATGGGAAATGGAAGCAGAAAATAAGCTGCTTGTCAAAACATTACAAATTTAAGCAACCAGTGGGGGTAAAAGATAGAACTTGGATTCCTTGACTATTAGAGAATATATTGAAGTTATAGGATTTCTAATTCTTGTCATCTTTCCCCCCACATTAGGTGGAATGGATGAGTGATAAATTGATGAGATGTTTTGAAGACAAAAGAAATAATCCATTTCAGTTTCGCCATCTCTCTTTATGTCATGGTCTTTCTGACTTGGCCCGAGTACCTAGCCCTAAAGTTGTACTTGCCAGCCAACCTGACCTGGAATGTGGATTTTCAAGGGATCTCTTTATTCAGTGGTGTCAGGATCCTAAGAACTCAATCATTCTAACTTACAGAACTACTCCTGGGACTTTAGCACGTTTCCTAATTGATAATCCTTCTGAAAAAATTACAGAAATAGAGGTAAGCACTTGTATGTGAACTTTATCTTAAGACTGTTTGGGGGATACATTGTGCGTGATGTATAAAAAATAGTGACCAAAAATAAAACTTGAAGTTGTTTTAGGATTTTGATCAGAATTACTCTTGAGAGCCAGGAGTGGTGGTGTGTGCTGTAGTACCAGCTACTCGGGAGGCTGAGGTGGAAGGATCACTTGAGCCCAGGAATCTGAGGTCAGCCTGGGCAACATGCCAAGACCTACCCCCCATCTCTTAAAAAAAAAATTACTGTAGAAGAGAGCCTTTAATAGCACAAATTTCAGAGTTCCTTAACTGGAGATTCTCATTTTTTTTTGAGATGGGGTCTTGCTTTGTTACCCAGTCTAGAGTGCAGTGGTGCTGTCATAGTTCCGTGCAGCCTCAAACTCCTGGGCTTAAAGGATCCTCCTCCCTCAGCCTCCCAAGTAGCTGGAACCATAGACATGTGCCACCAGGCCTGGCTATTATTTTATTTTTATTTTTTGTAGAGACGTCTCATTGTATTGCTGTGGGCGGTCTCAAAAGAAGTTCTCATTCTTAAACTTTTCCTTGGTACCCTCTAGTTTACCCAGAGGGTAAGCCTATACAGTGTTTTCTCAGTCTCTGAAAGGTTCCTTTCCTGTCTCTTGCTTAATTTAAATCAGACTCTTTCCTAAAGACGTTCTTTATCCTGTAGCCCCCAGAAGTAATTACTCTTTCTTTCAGTGTTGCATGTACTTTGAATGGAGTACATGTCTTCCTTGTTCTGTATTGCAGCTTCCTAGCTATTTATCTTCCATTTGCAGTTTTTGCCTTCAGACCTGCTGATATGCTGACCCCTCCTTGTTTCTGACATTTAATGATCTCTTGGTCATTCACCATTTGACCCTGATTCACAGTCTTCCTGTCCACTTGTATTCAGGACTTTATTCTCACTGACTTTAGCTTCCATGTATATGATCTGTCCAATTCGTCTCAGTTACTTGACACCTTATTTCTTAATCTTTTCCTTCATCTTACCTCAGACATCCATTCCTGCTGTCATGCTATTTGTTCCTGTGGTCATGCCTGTAACCTTCTTTTGGCCGAACAGTCTCCAAGCATCTCATTCTGAATTTACAGCTGACTTTCCCTGTTATTCTCATGACAACAACTCTTCGGTTCCATTGGGACTTTCAGTTCATGAACCTCACCTTTATACTGTCTATCATCCTTCCAGCCTTAAACTCAGTGGTTCACAATTAATCAAAATTTTGCAAATATCTTTAACTCTCTTACACTTCTGTTTTAGTCCCTGGAAAGGCTTTGACCTTAGTTAAACTATTTGCTTGGTGCGTGCCTGTACTTAAGCAGCTTTATGTTTCTGAAGTTAAACACTACAGTGTAGACAGATTTGTTTTCACATGCATAACTTCACATCTCAGAAGGGGACCCTACACCAGTACTCAGCATTCAGTAGGTGTTCCCGTTCTCACTGTAAGGCAATTTTATATCTTCTTTCTCCTCAAACATCCTACAGCTCACTCTCAGCCTTCATTCATAGCACATGATCTTGTCTCAAACTTAACATAGAAATCGAAGCAGTGAGTCAGGAATTCCTTTATCTTTCCACCACTAAATATACTAACTTGATTCTGCATCTGCATTTGCTGCCTTATCTCCTGTTACAGGAACAAGACAATTAGCTCAATGACTAGTATACCCAAAGATCGTTTGCTTAATAACCAGTGCATCAGTTCTATCGATTTTTCAAAACTAGTATATCATTAAAGTTTGTAGCATTTGATATAGTGGGATGGTTAATAACTGCCAGAGTTGCAAAAGTTTAGGCGACTAAACCTTAACATAAAGCTGTAACATAAAGCAGTATCATAAAGCTGCTTCTTATTTTGTCTTTGTAGCAGTCATGTAATTATTTAATTAGAGATAGACTCTCGCTCTGTCACCCAGCCTGGAGTGCAGTGGCACCATCACAGCTCACTGTAACCTCGAACTCCTAGGCTCAGGCTGTCCCTACCCCTCCCCCTAACCCACTCCACCTTGCAAAGTGCTGGAATTATACATGAACCACCGCACCTGGCCCTTAGCAGTCATTTTAAGGAAAGTTTAGTTTGTTAAAAGCTATGTGGTAGGGATATCTGTCTTCCAACTCTACTTAAGAAAAGCATAACATCAGTAACTAAAATCTGAGATATATGTACTATAATTATAGAATTGTTGAGCCAGGATTCTGAGCAAGCATAGCAAAGTAAAATGGTGTCTTTGAGGTTATTTAGGAGCTTGGAAATATAAGGTTAAAAGAACTAAGAAATACTTGAAACAATTTCATCAGATAGGAAATACTGAATTTGAAAATTTTAATTACTAGAAATTAAATTGGGTCTAATAAATCATTTGAGGAATTAGTAAAAGAAAAATGGTTTAAGTTTGGGAAAAAAAATAGACAGTGATGTTCAGAAGCATGCTAAAGAAATGAAAAACAGCCAAAACATCAAATGTTAAGTTTTTGATCTTTTTAATAACTAATGCTCATGCTCAGGGACCTTTTCTTGCTCACCTTCTTAGTGATAGTTCCTTTGCAGTTATCCCTCCTATCTTCGTTATCTAGCAGTTTCCCCTCTACTTGATCACATCCAAAACAATTTTTATTCTTCCCCTACTCCCAGTACTATTCTTCTGTCTTATCTCAGAGAATGCAGCACTTCCCACATATTCAAACCAAAAATCTGGAAGTTTAAAAAATGTTCACTGAAGTATAATATATACTGAAACCTACGTTAAGTGTATAGCATGATGAATTTTTACAAATTGAATGCACCTGTCTAGTCTGTACCCTGATCGAGAAATAGAATATTTCTATAGCGTGTTGGGCAGAGCCAACTAAGGTAAAAAATAGAAATGTAAAAAAAGAAATAGGGGACTGGGTGTGGTGGCTCACGCCTGTAATCCCAGCAGTTTGGGAGGCAGAGGCGGGCAGATCACGAGGTCAGGAGTTCGAGACCAGCCTGGCCAACAGAGTGAAACCCCGTCTCTACTAAAAATACAAAAAATTAGCCAGGCATGGTGGCAGGCGCCTGTAATCCCAGCTACTCGGGAGGCTGAGGCAGGGGAATTGCTTGAACCTGAGAGGTGGAGGTTGCAGTGAGCCAAGATTGCACCACTGCACTCCAGCGTGGGTGACAAAGCGAGACTCCATCTCAAAAAGCAATAAAAAACACATACAGTTCACTGTCTTAACCATTTTTATGTGTACAGTACAGTAGCGTTAACTATATGTACATTGTTGTATGACAGATCTCTAAAACTTTTTCATGTAGCAAAACTGAAACTCTGTACCGATTGGATAACAACTCCCAGAGAGATCTTTTAAACATTCATCATTTCATGTCATTCACTTGCTTAAATGGCTCCAAAGCCTTCCTTCTTCTCTTTCAATAACATCCATATACTACTTACGCAGGCTTCTTAGATCCCACATGATCTAATCCCCACTTACCTTTTGACCTTAGCTTATTCCACTTTCTCTATGCCCTACAGTGCATCAGGATCTTTGCACTAGCTGGTCTTCTGCCTATAGTGTTCTTTCCTGGCTTTGTGTGTGGCTGGCTCCTGGTCATTTAGGTCTCAGGTTAAACCTGAGGCCTACCCCCTCAGGTAGGCCTTTGACTACAGATTTAAAATACCTGCCTGGTTTAGCTGCCCATCACCTTGCTTGAATTATTTTTCCTAGCACTCGTCACCATCTGATGTATTCCTTGTTTGTTGTCTTCCTCTTCCCACCATCAACTAGAATTTGAATTCCATGAGAAAAAGGCCCTTGTTTTTCGGTATCTTTAGCACCCAGAACAGTGCCTGACATGTTGGAGGCCCTCAGTGAGAGCATTGGTTGAATTCATGAATGATCAAAAAAGTGAATATGGAATAAACCATATTTCTGATTGTGTTAGACAAGAAAAGTTTACCAAGTATGGTATTTTTTTCATCTCTATCTAATGCCCTTCTAAGTCAAGTCTTATTCATTTAGAAAGAGCAAAAATGAACAACGAATAAGGATTCATAGGTTGGAGTAGATTTGGATCAGAAAAAGGAGTAACTTGGAGGTAATACGGTGAAGGAGTAGGAAGAAAAATATTTTAGAGTTGGTTATTCTAGAAATCTGTTTCTGAATAAGCTATTAATCTTACATATTTTAAATGAAAAATAAGATAGAAAAATTTGTTATAGCAACAGGCATAAACTAAATCACAGAGGTAAATACTTTGTTAAAGATTATTGGTGGGTCAAAGGCATCTGTGTAGGTTGCTAACTGTTTAAAAAAAAAATCCCACTAGTTTCTGAATGAAACTTATTTTCAAATAAGTTATTAGGCAAATGTGAGATGCCAGATATAAACATGTATTTACTTTTTTATTTTAACTTCTTATTTTTTTGAGACAGGGTCATGTCATTCCCTGTCACCCAGGCTGGAATGCAGTTGCCTGATCATAGCTTACTGCAGTCTTGAACTCTTAGGCTCAAGCGTGCCTCCTGCTTAAGCCTCCCAAGTAGTTAGCACTGCAGGCATGTGCCGCCATGCCCAGCTAATTAAAAACATTTTTTATAGAGATGGGAACTTGCTGTGTTGCCCAAGCTGGTCTTGAACTACTGGCCTCAAATAGTTCTCCCACCTTGGCCTCCCAAAGTGCAGGGATTACAGGTGTGAGCCACTGCTCCTGGCCTTAAACATGTAAATCACCCATTTATTTTAGACATGAAAATAATCTGATTTTGGTTTAATTTTTTTGTTGTTACCTGTCTCCCTTCCCCTTACCCCACTGGGCAGCCCCTGAACTAGAATAGTCTCAGAAAGATTCCCTTTTTTTCATTACTTTTAATTTTGAAAAAATTTCAAACAGGAAAATTACAAAATATTATACCCAGATTCCCCAATTGTCAACATTTTACTGGATTTGCTTTATCACTTATATACACATGATACAATATTACTTTTTCTGAACCATTTGAAG